CCTCTCGTAATTGCCATTAAAAAGGCTTCAGAACTCGGACGCTGCATGGGACACGTCGTATTCTTCATAGCGTGCGTCCCAGTCCCTTCAGTTGTGCAGATGCCAAGGTTGGCGCTATGGCTAGAGGTCATTGCCAACCGAGCCCAGCTGAGAAATTTGGATGTGATGGGGATGCGTCGCACCAACCTCGGCGAGCATCACCTGTAGCTACCTCTTGATGCAATGATCTGCCAATGCCAATGTAATCCATTTGATACCAAATTTTCTTCCCCTCCTTTATTCCTTTTCACTTTGATTCACTGCTTTGGGAGTTAACGTTAACTTCACTTTTTGATTCATTTGCACTCTAACATCTTTGTTTGCAGGTTAATCCATGATTCATCCTTCAAGAATTAAAATTTCCAGGCCTAACATTAGTCCAAAATTATAAAAATTTGTGGGGCTTTACACTTATTAAAGATGACGGCGATCCTTTTGATGATCTAGAGAGATACAAGAGGTTAGTTGCGAAGTTAAACTACCTCATTGTGACTCGCCATGTCTGCACCAACGGTCAACTATTGGGCAGCTTTGGAACAAATTCTATGTTACTTTAAAGGAGCTCCTGCACAAGGCCATACACATTTTGAGTGTTTTTGTAGATGTCGACTGGGCTGGATACAAAATGATAGAAGATCTACCACATGCTATTGTGTCTTTGTTGAGGGAACCTAGTATCATGGAGGAGTAAGAAGGAAAGCATTCTATCTCGCTCCAGTGCAAAATCAAGTATAGAGCTATGTTACAGTCTACGTGTGAGATTCTGTGGATACATCATCTTTTATTTGAAATTGGGTTGGATCATCCAATGCCAGGAAAACCCTGGTATGATAATCAAGCTACTCTTTATATTGCCTCAAATCATGTATATCATGAAAGAATTAAACACATTGAAGTGGACTGGCATCTCATTCGTGAGAAGATTTAGGAAAATGTGATTTTCACTAGCTATGTGAAGACATAAGAGCAACAAGTTGATTGGTTTACAAAGGCATTAAATAAAATTCGAGTTGATTATTTTTGTGACAAGCTGAGCATAATAAATATTTATGCTCTAGCTTGAGGGGGAGTGTTACAGAATAAATATAGACTACTTTGAATATAAACTACTTTTAGTGCTATATACTTTTAGTCTAGAAAATATGTACAGATTCTTAGGATATCTCCTTTTTATTCTTTTCATTAATTAGAACCTAGTGTATTTATATATATACCGTTTACATATCATTGCTTCTATAAATAACAAATACCAAACTTTAAATAAGAATGTCATCGCACTGACCACGATGCATTCTCAGAGTTGTGCCTGGATATCTGATTTTGCATGTGTGGGAGGGGATGGAGTCGGTTATAGACTTTAAATGTGGAGTGAAGGCACATATTATGTTTCGCTTGACCAGTAGAATGTGACTGTAAACTTGATTTAGAGCCCGTTTGGATTAGCTGATTTGAAGTAGCTGATAAGTATTAGGGGTTGAAAAGCACTTTTAAGTGCTGAAGCTGGTTTAATAAATAAGCAGTTACGTGTTTGGGTACAAGTGCTAAAATTGATAATAAGTTGTTGCAGTATTTGATAAAAAAGTGCTGATAAGCTCTTTTTCTTTTAAAATGACTTAAATAACTTTAGAACTGTTTACACTTATAAGGGCGTAATTTCTTTAAAATTTTAGATTCCAGATCGATTCATATACAAAATATTCTATTTGTCATTTTATTTTAAATACAATTGTGCTTAGATAAGATAATTTTTATGATGAATATAATTTATTTTATGATAAGTATATAATCATAAGTTATAGTAATAACTAATAAATTGACAAAAGTTTCTCAGTAAAAAATAAACCTAAATAGGACAAATTATTTGAAGAGAAACAGACATTATCTTCATCATCACAACACTTAGAAAGCATTACACCAAAAATTTGATATGTCCTCATTTATTACATATAGTTCAAAGATTGATACACAGTCACATAAATATAAGTATGCAATGGAATAGAGAATTTGCTTATCTTAAATAGTCAATGAGAATTGCAGACTTGAAGGGGGGGGGGGGGGGGGAGGTTTAGGTTGAATACTTGAGGCTGTGAGTATCGATGTAGGAGTTTTTTTCTAAAAAGAAATATTTTAAGGATAAAATAGTAAAAATCTTGGTCAAACTTAAAGTGCTTATAAGCTAAAAATTCATAAGGTGGCTTATTTTGACTTATAAGCACTTGGCTTATAAGCACTTTTAACTTTACCAAACGCGTAGATAAACCGAAACGTGCTTATAAGCTAGTTTGACCAGCTTATAAGCTTAGCCAAACACCCTCTTAGCGTTAGATTCTCTTCACTCTTCTCTTTTTAAGAAGTTTAGCATGCTCCAAGTCTTTGTGGTTAAGCAGAACAGATATGTCACTGTACATGTTGATTTAATGCTGGTAATTTATATGGTCCTTTTCCTGCAGGATATCTATATAAAGATAATTTATTTTTTACAACAAGGGTCAAGATCGATATGTGTTTTATCAGCAAATGGTGTCATATCTACTGTCACTCTTCGCCAACCATCAACTTCTAGCGGTACTGTCATATATGAGGTACGGATTACAAAATTTTGTTTAGCAAGATGATAATACCATTTTGCTACCTTCTCATGGGAGAGAATTAATTGTCTAATCTATTGATTCGAAAACTAAGAAATGGAGTTGTTAATGTTTGCTTATGTTAAAAAATGTTAACGCTCTCATCACATAAATTGGGACAGTTGGAGTATTAAGAGTTACAATTAGATAGATTTTGATGATAGGGTCCCCATTATGGATAATTTTGATATTAAACAAAATCAATATTGTAGGAAAATGATGAAATCACTTTTGCAATGGTATGTTGGCATTGATAAGGTCAAACTGGATAGAGTAATATTAGGAGCTCATTATTTGCTTAAATTGCATGGCATTAACTGATGCTATGCTTTCTCACTGAATGAATATATATTATAACCTATTAGTAGAGCTATCAAAACGGGTCAGCCCAGCCCAAGCCTCGCAGGCTTTTGAATTTGGTGGGCTAGGTCGGGCCGGCCTGCCATATGAACGGGCCTTAAAATGGCCAGCCCAACCCAGCCCTAAGAGGGCCGCGGGCTAGGACGGGCCGGCCCTTCAATTGTTTTTAAGAAAAAAGAATTTCTTTAAATCCTTAAATATTTTTTCGTGACATAGTCGATTAGTCATGTAAATAACTTCTGTTTGCTTAGAGCGTAAAAAAGCTTGATATTTGACGAGAAATCTCGTAATTGAAATGCAAATTCTCTATATCTCTAACTTTTCTTTTTTAAAGTTACATGAATATTTTCTTAATGATTTTCTTTCATTTTCCTCAGATTCAGGGATTGCTTCAATAAGTTTAAATGGTGAGGTTTTTTTATTTAGGTTTAATATCGTTTGCTGATTTCATCATTATAGTCCATAAAATTTTTAAAATTCCTGAAATTTGCTAGTCGTCAATTGTTTTTTTGTGTATTCAAAATTGATCTTTTTCTATACTAAAGAGCAGTTTAAATATTAATAGTATATTAAAGTAATCCAAACTGATCATTGGCCACTTAAAGTAATATTTTCTTTTGAAAAATGATTATTATTAACCAACTAAAACTTTTCGAGTTCGTTATTAATTAGGCAAAAGAAAACTAATTTTGTCATATTACATGCATGTAAAAAATGTAAATTCTAGTTGATATGGAAGGGTAAATGAGCAATCTAGGGTTGGGGAATGGGATTATAGTTAATAGTTTTTTTTAGTTTTTACTTTTATAAATATTAAATATTTATAGTTAATTAATTTGTTAATTTATAGCCCACGGGCCGGTCCAGGCCCAGCCTCGATCAAGCCTGAAGGGCCAGCCGGTTGACTTGGGCCGGGCTTATAAGCCTCAGTTTTAAACGGGCTTAAAAAATCATAACCCAACCTTACTCAAGTAGCGGGCTCGGTTGGACTGGCCTCACGGGCTAAGCTCATTTTGACGGCTCTACCTGTTAGCTCTAATCTTTCCCCGGACCCCCTGCGTGAACATACTTTATTGCTCATTTAGCCCCACCCCTTTTAATTAACTCTCTCCATTTGTTTACTGAGGTGAACTTTTCTGATAAGCATGTTTTGTCCTCTCTTTCTCTCGATCTCCAGGGACATTTTGAGATACTATATCTATCAGGCTCCTTCTTGGTTGGTGATAGTGGTGGGACTCAGGTTAGGACCGGTAGCCTTAATTCTCTTGTTAGTCCAGATGGTCGTGTCAATAGGTGGCGGAATTGGAGGCCCTCTTATTGCTACTTGTCCTATCCAGGTACCTGTGAAATCCTTTTCATCATCTTATAGAAATTCTTCAGGCAGGCATTGAAAAAGAATGTTCTATTTTCGTGTATACTATGTTTGCACGTGTGACAAATGGATGAAAAAGAATGTTCGGTCCTCAGCTTGAATCTGATGGTGATTGCTTACAGGTAATGGTGGGAAACTTCCTATACTCAAGATCAAAGGCAAAGACTGTTGGAAGTGTCCAAAATGGAGACCAGAATCTCGCCCCCACCTCTTCCATGGGAGTCTGGCCAACCTAGTTCGAGGTAGACAGATGTACAAAGTGATACCATCTTAGACTGATGCGCCTTTTCTTATAACCCGTTTCCATCACAGATTGTACTGAAATATTTCAGTTTAACATGCATCTACCACTCTCACATTTTCCGTCCCTGACAATACTAGTTCAATTTACGTCTAAGGCTTGAACCGAGCTTGTGTGGCAAAATGTGAATATATTTCTTATATAGACATGAAATGTTTACATTAATATACTTTGACCAATTTGTCATGTTTTTATGATGGAAGACATGCTTTCACTTTTCTTGTCTTCACTAGGATATATGTTGTGTTTTTTCACCTGCCTGGTCATTCCTTTTTTAATTTCATTTCTTTTCCATCAGTGATGAAACCCAAAACAAAGAAACCTCATTTAACTTCAATTGTTTACTCCACAGAAATTTCAGAACCACTTCTTTGTTCTATAAATATAATACTTATTACAAGTTCATGCGATGTTTATCCAAGTAGCTTCAACAACAACAACAACATACCTAGTATTATCCCACACCGTGGGGTCCGAGATGAGTAATGTGTACGAAGACCTTACCATGGCCTGTGAGGATAGAGAAATTGTTTCCAATAGACCTTCGGCTAGCTTCACACACACTTAAATTGGGCTTTTTGCTTTTCAGAATGTTGCCAGGACGTTCTTCCGGAAAAAGAACTGGCCCGAAGGCCCACCTTCAGGCAAAAGGGCCAGAATTACTGGGCTTTCAGTAGCTTCTTCTGGAGTCAAAGGCCCAGTATTACAAGTAATATCTGTCTTCGTATAGCCCGGACAAATACAGTTGACACATATAGAAGAATACTTTTGGGCCACAATTCTTGTGTATGCATTCAAGGCAGCTTTTGAGAGTTTATAAGCTGCCATATCAGTGGGCCAACCCTTTTCTTCTAATAAACCCTCCTTGAAGTCCACAAGAAATTTATTCAATACTTCATCCACTTTTTCTGTTGTAAGGCCTTCCCCATCACTTAAAGCTTTTATGGCCCATTCATTTGATACCAGCTGAAAAGATATTTCAACAAAAAGAAAAATGAGGAATTTTCGTTATGACTATAGTTTAGAGTCTAATTACCATATATAATTATAGTCTGCCTAATTACTATACCTAGCTACTGTTCTTTATTACCAGATTGTAACATTTGTATTCAAATGCGCAACGAATACGTAGCAACTATATTCGTTCATGCAACGAAAAAGAATGAATAGGCGCCCAGATGGAAAAATTACGATAGAAATCAAGCTTGGAAATGAAGGATGCACTCACAGAAACAATGAGATCATCAACATAAACTATAAGATAGACTTGAATGCATGTCAATCGGTATTCTATATGATGTTGCAGCAGTGGACGTTTTGGATAAGTAAAAACAGTAGACATTAGCAGATAAATTAGCAGGAAATAAAGAAGGATAAGGAGAAAGAACTCAAGTAATTATCCTTCGTTCTCTTAATTGAATTGCAATTAAACTCGGCCGAATCTTTTACTAAAAGGATTGAGCCGAATCAGACAGACCATCTTTAGCGAAGTCCCTCCTTCCCAACCTCTCCTACAACATCCATTTCGTCAAAGAAAGACGGAGCAGGCACACTGACTACTCTGATTGGGAGATCCCTAGAAAGAGGAGCAACAAAGAAGAGAGGGGTATAAAAGAATGAAAGGAATGTCTTCGATCTGGCTCTTATTCCCTGTAGGTTTATAGCACGCTAGGCTAGCTAAGAAAGGTATTCTATCTTTCTCTTTTTGTTGTTCGGCTCGATACAACCAAAACAAAATAAAAGGGCGTATACAAAAAATAATCTATGTAACTGAATTTGATCAGTTATTTGTGTAAAAATCCCAAAATGTAATTCAGAAGGGGAAAAAAAGAAAAAAGATGAAAAAAGACAAGAAAAAGTAATTATTGTGACCTGAAAACTTTTTCTTTATTAGTAACATTTGATTCTTAGTACTAATCAAATTAGGTGCACAATTTGAATTTTAAGGTCAAATTTAATAATTATGACCTTAATTTATGATGTTGGACTTTTTTTAAAATCTGCCCAATATTTTAGATATCATTTGTTTAGTGCGAACGTTGAGTTGCCATATTTTACTAAGTCGTTGTTAGCAAATAGGAAATGAGGAAAAAAAGTAATTTCAAGGCAGAATGGCCTAAATGGCACCTATACTTGTGTCACTTTGTCATGCCGGTTTTCCTACTTCATTTTTTTTCATCCAGACACTTCAACTTGTTCAAAATCTATATTTTAAACCCCTCTGACCGTGTGTGTATCTCACTTGGTTGACGTGGATGACACATCATATTCCACGTTATTTTTTATATTTTATCTACTAAAAACACTTATTATATACTATTTTTTTAAAGAAAAAAAAAAAGAAAATCAATGCCTCCATCTCATCTCTTTTCCCTAAAATTCACAAATTTCTTCTTGCTAGAAAATGCCAAAATTAATAAAAACATAATAAACAGTGATACAAAGTTAACAGAAAATGAGGAAAACATAACTAAAATATAATGTAGCTTCCTGTATGGGGGGGTGGAAGAAGAAGAAGAAACGTACATGGGGGAAGGGAACAAAAAAGGAGGAGGCGTTGTTTTGGGGGGTG